TCCTACTGATAATGATGGCCTGTATCCTGGAGAATTTGCAGGGAATAGATTTTATTTAGAAGGATTATTTATTGTCCTCTTCATTGGGGGAGTGGTGTGTTTAGAAAAGTGAGGGTTTAAATAATGGCCTGCGCAAGATAAGTCCTCACGTTAATTCCTCTGGTGCTTCTTCTTTTCATGACACCTCATGAAGCACTGGTCTCACATTATGCAGATGTTTGCCCTGCAGACTCTGGGACCTCAGATGTGGGATTTATTTTAACAGTAGTTTTTGAAACTCGTTTTGAAAACAAATATAAAAAAGTATACCTTTGCACCTTTTCAAATTTCTTTTAGATTTTATTTCATTGACGTACACATATGGTCTTATTCAATACATTAGTGTACTCTTAAATTATTCAGTCATTTTAAAATGTGAAAAAATGTGTAGATTAATTTAATGATTTTTTTCAACCTTCTATTTCTACTCAATTTGTTTTTTTTTTTCTGTTTACTGTATTGCAATATTACATCAGACCCAAAAATAATATATTTAACATAGAAAAAACAGCATACTGAAAAAGCATAAAGTTTGTTATTTTCAGAATGTACTTAAGCCTCATTGGAACACATATTTTAATTAATTCAACATGACTCTGTATACCTTTCAAAATAATGTCCTCTGATCATGTATGATCAAGACTGAGGAACAGAGGTCAGGGATAAAGTTGTGAAGATGTATAAAGCAGGATCACTTTGTAAGACATATTATTTTGTATTCAGATTTTATAGAGGACTTTTTAGTTTGTCATCCAAGAGTCTTAAACAACAGTAGAAGTGTACAGCTACCAAGAAAACAAATATTTTTGGCAAGCAGAACATTGATCCAAATAAGCAGGCAAGAAGTCCATACTAACACTGGGACAGCAGCAAAGATGAAACGGCTTAGGTTGGAGATTCTATTGGTCGGATAAATATCTGTTTTGGAAGAATTGAAAGAAAGTCATGGTGCCACTGCTACCTGAACTCACAATCCTTGCAGTAAAACATATAGGTGGCCCAATTATGCTGTGGAGATATATATGCTAACATGGTCATACCTTATGGAAATATGAATGAAAAATAAGATAATTCTGGAAGAAAACTGATTAGAGGCAGCAAAAACACTAAGTGGGAGAAGGTTCATCTTCCTATAGGACATTAGACCCTACTCGCAAAAACTGGAATTTTGCGCGAGGGGCTGGACCATGGTTTGCGGGTGATTTAACAAGAGCGATTGCGTAACTGGTGGCAGGTGCAAAACTGTTGGAGACGCCCTATTTAAATGATGGTTTTGCGCGTTTTGTGGTTTGCGGCAAAGTAGTTTGTAGTTTCTACAAACTAGTGCATTAAGAAATTTAAATCTTACAGTGATATATAAAGAAAAAAACTTTGGCAACCTTTATTCCCTAAGGTGGTATGTGGCTGAATTTCTACTTCACTGCAGTAAAAAAAAAACAACAACAACAAAAAACAGGTGTTTTGTATTGGCCTGTACAAAAATGCACATACCAAATGGCTCACAAGAAGTGACCGTGGATGAGATTACGCATCCCCGCAGCATTGGCATGTTGCTCCACAGGCGCAGGGGGAGAACCCCGACCCTGTCGGACAGCACTTCTGAAAAACGAGATTGGGAGATCCCAGCTCTCGCTGCAACCGTACGCTGGAATGACCCAGATGCAAAAAAGTGCAATGTTGCAAGGAGTTTTGTGATATCTGGTATTGCGTGGGTCCTCCTTGTGGCTGGCTCCAAATCCATTCGGAGTTCCCCCAACAGCTCCAAAATGTCAATGCTGGATAAACGACATGTTTTGATGATCGTTTCCTCCTTCATTCCAAAAATATTCACACGGAGTGAAAAAAATGCGTTCTCTGCGTCTCCTTGCTTCATTTCGATGTCTCCTTCTTGCGACAATAACCGCTGCCATGTGTGCGCAATTACGCATACAGACCATTTGCACCTTCTTTTGAAACGTGTTAAATATAGAGTCAGATACCGTTAGCAAAATTGTTTTTAGGTTTGATAAATCACTTTGCGAGTGCTAAATTAATATATTTACATGTTCTCCTCCCACAAGACGCACTTTTGCGTGTAAACGCCCCATATTGCATATTCATTGCAGAAAAAGTACTAAATGGATAAGAGGCGCTATTTAGCACGTTTTAAAGACCAAATCTTTTTAGCACGCTGTTGATAGATCAGTTTGGACATTTTTTAGCGTGCGCAGTGAAATAGCTCACGTTTTTATACACGCAAACCTTTGATAGATCCGGCCCTAAGTGTACGTGTACAGCCACATTTAGACTGAAGCTTATCAAATGGCTAGTCAAAGTAAAACCTTAACACAAATAATAAAGGACCTTAATTGTTGTTTATAGATTATCACCATCTGATTGGGCTTGAGCTATCTCACAAAAGGATTAGGAATATATCTTATGCATACTGTAAATTTGCCACTTTGGTCAATATATTTCAAAAGATCTGACTTTAGAAAGCATAATTTTCTCTTAGTTTACATTTTATGCAGTGCAATTTGTTGGTCTGTCACATCCAAATCAAAAGAAATGCACTGAAGTTAGTAGTTGTTACTTATCAAAATGCGAGGACATTCTGCAAGGTGGTGTATGTTCATTTTTCTCTTTGGTATGGGATTTTAGTTTTCATTTTTATGTTTTATTGTCCCTCTAAGCTTTTTCACTAAGCTTCAGTGTATATTTTACAAGTCAACATTCAGTTGCATGATAACTGTTAAAAAAAAACACATCCAGCTCTACTGCAATTTTTGCTGAAATAAAAAAATGATTCCTGTCAAAAAATACAGAGGAAAGAAAAGGAAAAATAACACCCACATGTGTTCCAGGATGGTTAGGTCTGCTGTGTTTTCTCATTTATTTCTGTAGCTTCTCTGGAGTGCAGAAGGACAGCATTATCATATGATAGCACAGCCAACCTAACCTCCAATCCCACTGCTCTCTTACAACATATAAATCAGGATGCTTGGTGTCATGGCGCCTGGAGGCGTGGCAGCTGCTGTGACATGGAGGATTCTGGTGTGGGTGTGAAATCACTTGACCTCCAGAATTAACCTTTCAGAGAGTGAACGGCGGCTTGCCTCTCCTCAGCAGGCTAGGAACAAAAGAGGCCTGGTATTGATTAAAATCCACAGCACATACTTGGTATTAAACACTGGCTTAGATGCCCATGTTCCCCAAACAACCCTTAACTCAATGTCCGTACTACTTTCCTCCACATGCACACGCACAAGATTCATAGATTTCTTTTTTCCTCTGCCAGTATCCCTGACTGGACATATATGGGCATAAAACATACAAAGCTACGGACTCAGAGGGCACAGGAGTAAGGCTGATAGTTGGTTTAGCTCAGGGTGGCAAGGGTCACAAGAGATGATACAGAAAGACAGAGCAGGGAAGGTCTGGGTCTCCGGGGTGATCAGTGTTTTGTCATCTGCAGTGATGTTTACTTTTTTCTCAGTGCAGGTTCTCCTCCGTTTATCCCCTCCCTATTCTCTGGATCAATACTCTGCATCCACAAAGGTCTGGGATAAGGCATACAAGCATGTGAGTCAGTCAACACTTACTGAGCTAAAGGATATGGAGGCTGAAGTCTCCCAGGGTACAGCTCGTGTTCCATCACCTTTCCTCCCACTTTACTGAATCCATGTGGTGTCAGATGCTGCATTTATATAATGTAGGTAGAAGGGAGATTCATACAGCTTCCTTGGAAAGGTGTTCATAATCTATTTTCTTTTTTAACTTTAAAATTATGGATTGTTGTATCATTTATTGGGTTTTCATGTAATACACCAATACAAAGAGGTTCTTTGTAACAAGAAAGTGGAATAAAACTTATATGTTGTTTTCAAAGAAAAGTGCTTGTATCTAATAAGATCAAGACTGAATTTTGTGCCTGACAGCAAAACACAACGCTCTTAAATATCACAAAAGTCTTAAGATACAGTTCTAAGAGGGAAACATGGAAGTGACAGCATTATGCTGTGGGGATGCTTCTCCTCAACAGAGACAGGTGAGCTGATTAGAGTTGATTTATAGAGTGCAGGAAAATTATTAACAAGGACATTAACTCTGAACATAAAGCAAGAACTGCCAATGAGTGAAATAATCTAGTCGAACTCCAGGCATAAATATAAATGAGAATTAATGGCAATGCTTTAACTATAACGTTTTTTGCAAAAGTCATAGTATTTTGCAAAATATGCGTGCAGCCTATATATGTATCTATACATGTGCTAAAAAATACCCCCAATGACTTACACCTGTAATTAGAGCATTTCTTTTATTCCACAAGGTACTGAGTAAATTCAGCTGAGAACAAATGCTTAACACACTTTTTATTATTTCATTTATGTTTTTTCATTATAAAAATTTTTAAAAACAATTTACCATAACATGTTTAGCAGAAACATCATACTTTTTGAATTGCTCTAAAATAGTTGTATAAACCCCAAAAATCAACCATAATGTACGGCAAACAATAAATAATGATGCATTTTACTAATATTATGGCATTTTAGATACTTAATCTGTCTTTAAATGAAGTAATCGATAAATAGATTTTCTGGAATCAGGAATTATTAAGTTTTTTTTGCATAGTAAATTGTAAAAAGGAGACAAATTATGGATAATCTTTAAAAAGTAGAAATTTTACATAAATTTGCCTGAGGTGTCTGGACCACATGGAAAACATAAACTTCATTGTGAAATTTGCTTTCTGAATCCAAGATCTATCACATAAAAGCTGCAAAATAAACAACACAAAAAAAGCCTTCCACCTCATGATGGTGAGCAGGTCTTGAACAATAAAACGCATTCAGCTCCTCAGACAAGCTCCACTAGCCTCACAGGCGCACTTCTCTCTGTAAGGCTGCCCTTTGATTATAAATGGTCCATCACAAGGCTGTTAGTTCGTTTAAAGCCGATGGTAACTGTGCTCCACACACCTTAACCTCAGATGCAGGACGGGGGTCGCTTTTCACGGGGAACGCCAGCATCTGTTCCAGGAAATGCCCGTCTCGTTCAGGCCTAATTGTCGTTCCTCCATGAGAAGGCTGGTAAGTGAGAGCAGGATGGTAGGGTGGTGGTGGGGGCTGTCACGTTCCCGTCACATCCCAATGGTCCGGTAAATAGAGCGTGTGAGAGAACCCCCCTCCTCCTAAGTTACTGACGGACGAATGGCCTACCATCCCTCCCCTTTCCCTCCTCCATCCTCCATCCCCAACAATTCCTTAGCTCTCTCAGCCGCTTATTTATCTCTACTCTGTCATGTTATTCATATGACTAGAAAATAATTAATTGCTGCAGCCAGTGATGATTTATGATATGACTGACATAATTAATGATACACATCAATTTTTCTCCTTAATTGAAGGGGGCTGTAGTTATGGCACCAAGAAAGTCCATCTTCTTGAAAATCTGAAGAAAAAAAAAAACTTTACACTAATTCACATCACCCTGAAATAACTTCCACCTCCCTTTAGACACTTGTTCTCATTCTATCAAATTCAAACTTCTTTTCTAGAGGCTCAGACTTAAACTTGATAGGTGGACAGTTGTATTGAAAAGTAGATCTGAATCTGTACACATCTCTATCTTGTTGTGTATGTCTGTTTGCATATGAACTCCATAATGGCCTCTATAAGCATGTCTAGGTATACAGCAATATATGATTCATGAAGATGCGTGTGGGGCATATGTAATTCCATCTCTACCCTCAGGACGAGAGACAACAAGGTAGTGCATGAATATTTGATTTGCCAGGGAGAAGCTATAGGAACTATGCATAGCATTTTAAACAGATGACCACAGAAAAGCCCACTTAGAAATCTACACATTTAGGTTTGCTTTCATAGACGTTTTTTGTATTTCGTTTTACATGCTCTATCCCATTGAGAGGAAGCTCTATTTTATGCATGTTTATTTACCTTACGCATAATTTTGTGAGCCTAAGAAAGCTCAAATGTCATTCGGCTATTCCCTAAACATGGTCTGCATTATCTTTCGTTATTTCAGTACTGATAATTAAAGCTTTTAGTACCCAGCATCTCTATCCATTGGTCCATCTGTCTATATACATTGATTTATCAAATATTTTTCTTGACTCATTATTAATTTCCTCATTCTAATATTTCTACTTAGGAGCTTCAAGTTTACCCATTGGCATGTCAAATAAACTCTCATACACTGAAACAGATGTTTGAATGTTTATTTCTTATTAGGAAAACAACCATTATCCTCATAAATGGCATTTAATCTTATCCATTCATTTAAATAAAAAAGTCTGTATCACACTCATCTATCAAATCACGTTGGTTCTCTTTTTTGCATTCCCTGATACACATTGGTGTTTGTTGTTTGTTCCTGTTCACTCTTACAAACTCTGGCAGGTCATGACCCTTTTTCAGTAGACTTTAATTTTCTTTTTTAAATCTATAGATGTTAACCAGAACATGACATTGAGGCATTGTAGGTACACAATATCTAATGGTAGGACAAAATGTCTAGCATCTAATTTTGCTCTGAATAGGCGGCTATATGTCTAAAAAAATGCCTCTGACTTAATAATCAAGCATGAAGGATTGTGGTAGCATGAACTGAAGAATTATTAAAGTTTTAACCCCATGTGTCGTTTTTCTAAAGAATTAAGGATTTATATGTAATGTTTTTAGCCAGTTAGTAGGGAACCATTCAATTTAAACAGAAAATGTCAACTTTGCTGAATGTCAGCTGGATACAGCATCCTAATGAAGAATAAATAAAAAGTGCTTGTGTCTTCCTCACATCTGACCGATTTGATCAGATTTCTTGTTTTTTTTATCTATACATATATTGTTATTTATCCAAAAGCAGTGAGTTGAAAAAGACTCCATTTGTTTAGAATATTTCCCCAGGTTTCCCAGTTATAAATACATCTATATAAAGGAATTTTGTTTTTGCATTTGTGCTTGTAAGAGTATAAATAATTAGAAAAAGTTAGAAAGCCTGCCAGAGCCCTCTAGATGAACTCTTATAGTGAACCCTATTCGAGAACTGCTCAGTAAGCCTCCGGATAAAGAAAATGTGATCAGGTGGTTTCAGCGACTGACTGATGGTGTCAACACACAGAATACAGACAGAAAGTGCCAGGGGGAATGGTAGTTGTGGACTCGGATTAATCTCCATAGCAACGGCAAAGTAAAGCCTGTTTGTCGACGGACACTTTTCTTTTGCTACATATAAAAATGATTGGCAGCTCCATTCCTCCACAGCTGACCCAGAGAAATTATCGAAAAAGTGTTAGAATGTCCAGCTGCTCTTACATGGTCTTCATGATTTTATATAAAGTGCTCTTATAGAGTGATTCACTTCGAAATTTGCATAAGAAACATGGCATGCTTTGCAGATGGAGGCCGGGTTGGTTTTGGGGTACTTTAACATCTTTACCCTGATGGCTTCTTTGTGATCAAGTAGAGTAAAAAAAGGAGGGAAGAGAAAGCTGCAAAATGAAAATAACTTAATTTCCATTGCTTGAAGTTGAGGGTATAAGTTCAACTTGCAGTCCCAGACAGGCACAGCCAAATAACCTTATCACATCAAGAACCTGCTCCTCTTTGGTGACCACACATGTTGTTCTTCAATGCGTCTAGGCTGCAAGTATAACATTTAAGGGTCAAAACTAGACAGACACCATTGTTTGTGTTCTTTTTCACATTTACGAAAAGTTCAAATCACATATTAATATATTTTCTTTTCTTAAAAAATTGATCACAGACTGCAGCATATGCAACATACTAACCATAACAGTAGTTTCTCAACTTACAACCATGCAATAAATTTCTGTGACGAGCAACATTTTCAAGATATGAGAACAAGACTGAACAACAACTTTTAAGGAGTAAATTCTAAATCCTCTGAATAAAGAATATTTAAAAAAACAACAACAACAACAACATATTTTATGTGTAATCGTATTAGCGTATGTGAAACTTTTATGAGCTGTTATTAAAAGAGCTATCACACATCGCTCCATCACCTTATATACATATATATATATATATATATATATATATATATATATATATATATATATATATATATATATATATATATATATAATAATCTTAGAAAACTCCCTTGATAAATGTTATAAAATATAAAAATAGTTGTTTGAAATTTGTAAAGAAGACAAACAAACTGAAGAATACTTGATAATTCTAATACCCACAAACTAAAAAGGAAAAAAATTAAAAGTTATGCAAGAGGTAATCTAAAGCATAAAGGAGAGAGTCTGCCTTAACTGACAGCTGGTCTTGATTGGAGATAATTTAGCAATCAGTTGTACCAATCAAAGGTCATTATAATTAACACTAGGGGGCACCAGTGTTCCATGTAATGCTATTTGAAGTTCGGTGATACCACTCACAGCACAGAAAATAGTGTTATATGCTGTT